CACATCACCCCAACTTGAAACTAGCATGAACTGAGCGAGTGCATCGAAGTACCACCTTTGATCATTTACCACGCAAATGCGTTGGTTGAGCCGTGAGGTTGGTATTTGGTGCAGCTTTGAAGCACTAAAGTCTCAGCCTCCTGTACATCACTGCATCGCTGCACCCTCCTGCACCTCTCAGTCCTTTCAGAAAGGGGGAAGCGGGTGATCGAAAACCAAGTTGCTGTATGTGAAGAATGGTGACACAAGTACATGGAAAAGCATTTTTGCCAAACATGTTATTGGGCACCGGTTCTACCTTCTTGAGAACAACTGGATATATCAAGAGAGTATTATATAGTGCTTGAAATTACATAAATGATCTTAGTAGTAACAAGTGCATTGCTGCATCGCTACTAGTAGCTAGAAGCTACTAAGTATAAATCCGCCTTCTTCAGCTCCAAAAAGGCCTGAGACATCCAAGTCTCAAAGGTTGAAGCAACGTCTGAACTGCCACGGCCACGTCCCAGGTCAGAAACAACCAGAATCCAGAAACGTCGACTGCACTGAACATTGGCACAGCATGAGCCAATGTGGTGCTTTTGGGAAATGGCTGAGGGTTTTTGGATGTTTTTGGTGTTCCGGGGGGGGCGACGACTGGACGAGCTCGCTGACTTTGACCCAAGGTGCTCCGCTCCCAGGCACCCAAATCTGGCGGAAGCGAGGCCCGGGGGTGCGTCTGGGGATGGGAAAACAGTAGACGAGGAATCTGGGCGACGGGAATTTCGGAATTACAGTACGAACACCTGAGGATTTGGGGTTGGTCATGAGTCATCCTTCATAGCGACAAGTCAATCTATAATTAAGTTGGTAGTACCTCCTGCGCACGATTGTCACGAATATATTATTGGAGTCTGTTACATGTGGACACCACCTGCAACTGTTGGAGCTTGAGGCTCCTCGGATTGAGCTTTATCAAAACGTCTGCATTCACTGAAGGTTGAACATGTAAAAGCTACACGGCACTGGGCTCTTATGAACTGAGGTCTTAACAAATCGTTTGTTTTCATATGTAATACGTTTTCATGCATGTGTTTGAAATCATACGCGGGCATGCCGATTCGACATGCTGCATGCTCACATTGCTCAACATGAGGACACCATCTTTCTCATTGATGACAGAGACCATGCGAGACCAACTCTGCAAGACCCTAGAAGGTTCACAACATACAGGAAGTCCATATTCACCACAAAAACAAACTGAAGATCTGCTGTAATCAGGACAACCTCAGCCAGGCTGAGCAACGGCTTAATCCCGACTGTTTGTTGCTTCACAGCGCAACAAATACCCCGCGAAGAGACGTGCTACCCGGGCAAACTACAGCAACATGAAATCTAAGAACTGACTGAACTGTGGAAGACCATTTTCCGCTACAACCCGGGGGTTTTGTGGGTCCATGTTCACCTGCGGCTTTTTTTTTTTCATCCTCGCACGTCTGCTCCATGTCCATCCCACTCTGACCGAGTGACCGACGCACCATCGACGCCAGCGAGGTGCCAGCATCGATGGTAGCCGACCTCTGTGACGTTGAGGTGTTCCTTCAACTCCCCTTGGATCTCCGCGCAATGCTTCTGCCTCCATCGGACGTGGATGGAGGCGCGCAATGGATCCGTTGCAGCATTTGTACAGGACTGGGATGGGGAGAGGCGTGGCTCCATGTAGCTGTCGTTGTTCAGGTGCCATGGTCATGTGTCATGTCTGATTTGGGAGGCTCCAGGTGGGCATGAAGCAGCTCAGGGGAAAATGGCTCCCCGTGGATGTGGCTCTACCATCATCCAAAAATTGTCATGTGTGGGGGGGCCTCACTGCAATCTGGCTCAAAGGTTGATGACCCTGCGATCCACACCGCAACCGCGACCTACCCAGCTTTTGCGCTCCGCATGTTCTTCCAACTCAGAGTCAAATCTCATGCCTTCTTGCAGCTCAGGCACAGCTCAGATGTCCAAGGGTAAGTCTTCGGATTATGAAACCTCAGTCAATCAGTCAATTGAGTGAATCTGTCTGCCCGGACTGGCCTCCTACTTTCAAAACTACTTGACCAACGCTGACGCGGTCTTCTGCCACCTCGTGATGCGGACGAAAATAGTATGATTTCTCCTGTCCTTGTTGGGGGGTCAAACCCAAAGATCCCAAACAACTGCAGCAACAAAAAAGAACTGGTCGTTTTGCAATGATGCTGGACATCTACAGTATTGACAAGCCTGAACCCTGGAAGAAAATACAGGACCAAAAACGATTGAACCACAACAGGCACGACGTATCCGACCGCGAGCGGCTCGACGTATCCGAGATGAGCCCGGTTACCCTGTCTGGTTGTCTGGTTGGTGGTTGCAACCATTCACACAAAATGATCACCAACCCAAAGAACTTGTCAAGTATTAGATCACTACCACATATATAGGGAGGACCAAGACATACTCCATCATACTCGCCCAAACTAGCACCCACAACTAGGGGATCAGTGGGCAACTGAACCGACCTGCCCTTGGCCTCCTTTCACCTCCATCTCAGGATCTCAGCCCTCTCGGCGGCCCCGGCGCCAAAGAAGGCTCGAGGCCTGCCGGACACACACAGCCCGAACCGGAGGCGTCGGTTGGCATTTCATCGTGGTGGTTCTTGTGATTGCAATTTCGGTTGGCATTCAGCTGGACACACACAACGGTTTAATGATCTCAGAAAGACAAACATATATACACACACACGAGAAAAATATACTATTCTTGACTATATATGTGGGTGGTTCATGCCAACTCATTGAACATCCTAGGAGATGGTTTCATAGAGGTGCCCGGTTGCTGTTCGCTTGGGAAGTAAACTCGGGGTTGAACCGTTGAACCATGACCTGACACCGTCCGGGCGTAACCTCCGGGTATTTGTCTGGTCTAGTGGAGTGAGCTACCCGAAACACCATAAAACCTCAATTTGGAGAAAGTGTTTTTTTTTTATGTTTCTCTAATCTAAATATGATGCGTATATAATTGTGGTTATGATTAACTTTTAACACAATCATCTCATCATGGAGTGCTCCCTTTTATGTTGATGATAATTGACTAGGCGACACACCAAGTATATAACTCAGTACTCCACGGGTTGAACAGGGTGAGTTGAACATTATTTAAACGGTAAATCATTGCGCAACTGTTGATGTTGATTCAACGTGTGAGTGTAGAACATTATATATATATATATGCCCTTCAATCTGTCTCACTAACCACACCAACCGGTCTTAGAGGGATGCAGAAGCAAGGCGTCAGCTTAACACCATGGATGATGTTTCGGTCACGTCCATTGTCCAACGTCGACTTCACGTCGAGTGTGCTACCTTCGATGTAGCCAGGAGCGCAGCGCTTGCCCTCCTGAAGCACGGAGTTGACCCTGTTGGCTCTTTGGGGGTACCTTTGGTGGTTCAAATCAAAGGTTGAGACCTCCGACATTGGTATTTAAATGTATTTAATGGCAGTTGCATTCTCTGGGCACCTTTACTTGGGTGGAAGGGACATGCCCTGCAAGCCCACGTTTGTTCCCATCCTTCATCTAGAAATCTAGGCACTCCGTTCGTTCTATACATCGATCTCCAAAGTTTGAAACATCAGGCAGTCTAGGCCCTGTGATACAGGCAAATGGTCACGACAGCAGCACACTGTCGTGGGTCCGGTCCAAGGCCAGTTTTGGGATGTGGATGGTCTCCATCTTGGACCTCTTGCCAGGACAAGCAAAACATCTAAAACAACTGCTGGGCTCCCCTTCCAAGGACGCTCCAAACCTCTTCTCAACTGCTGGACCTCCCCTTCCCAGGACCCTCCCGCTCCCGGTGTGCCGGAGCAGGTCTGTGTTGGTCGCTCGCGGTCCTCCTTTTCTTCTTGGAAGACCTCCCCATGGCCCATCCGTTCCAGCATGGCCTTGCGGCATGGGTCGTGATCCAAGAGACCCTTTGGTCTGGTAAACCAGCCCCATCCAAAACAAAACAACTACCTAACTAACTAGCATTAGCGCCTGGAAGTCAACGACTGAGTCAATGGAAGACAAGCTTCTCCATATCTGTGCCGGGCATGTAAACCGATATAGTTTCAATGATATTTAATGAATGATACATATGGTTCCTAGGATGAGGATAGAGTAGCATCCCACGAGAAAAAGACTCGCCAGAACAATGAAAAAACAGTTGTTGTCTTCAGTCACAGAATGGATAGGGGGATTGCCGGGGTTACCTTTCCTTCGGAGGACCAGCCTTCAGTGTCCTTGACCGCCAATGACACGTCTAAAAGATCCTTTGAATCGCCTGGAGGAAAAGAATTCCTTTGAACATTTATTATGCAACATGTCCTCCCAACCAGTTCTACAACTCCTGCCCAGAAAAACCCTCGCGCCCCGTCTCTTCTTCAAACCCACCAAGCGCGCCACGTCTCCACGTCGCGCCGCGTCTCCACGTGCGGCCTCCACACGGCCGAGCCGCTCCCCAGCACCTCGAAACGCCACGCCACGCCCAGTGATAGCATCCGATCGCTCCGTTCGTAGCGATGCCCTTTGCTACTAGTAGCACAAAATGCGCCTAGTAAGGCCAGGAGCCCCTAGTAGCGTCCTTGTGCTATGCATTCCAAACAATACAAAAAAGAGACCACCGTAGTTTTCCGCATATTGAATGGTTTTAGATTGTTCAAAGCAGTTGTTAAATGGAATTGAAAGAGAACCTGACTGGTGATATCATGTGATATCCACGAAAGTATGATAAATAAAAGCTCTATTTGAGGTCCTGGACATTTGATTTCCATTGTGATATCGAATTTGCTATCCGCTTCTTCCATGGTCCATCCTGTATGCTGCGTGCGCACAACGCTTGGGATTCTATATCCATATCCCTCAATTTCAATCTATGTCCATCTTGCTGTGGAATGGCCACAGCTGGAATGGTCGCTTGTAGCTTCCATCTCTGAGCCCATGACCATCGCCCAGTTCTTTTTCCACCAAGGACTGAAGTTGGGGCACCTCGGACGGTGCCATCGGCCCTCCCGTCCCACGGGGCGGCCAGTGTGGGAACCCCCGCCTTGGCCAACAGGAAGCGGTCCAACCCTTGGTTACTAGTAGCGTCCTCTTGCTCCTAGTGGCCATGCCAGGGGACCCTAGTAGCGTCCGATCGCTCCTAGTAAGGCCAGGAGCCCCTAGTAGCTTCTTGTTAAGCATTATCAAATCCCACCTTCCCAATCTGAAGTTGGACCACAAGTCCCATCAAAGCTCCACACATTGCACGCCTTTTCTTGCCATGCGCCTTGGAAGCCCTGCACGCGCCAGCCGCTCCCCCAAGGCAGGCAGCGCTTCCACAGCATTGGCCGCAGCACAAGCGACCAACGCAGAGTCTAAGGCCAGGGCATCAACTGTGTTGACCTCTCACCATGAATGCTTTGGCAGCTCTTGGGCCCCCTTTTTTCCTGTTCAGTTGTCCCGTTGGAAACCTTAGAAGTATCATCAGATTCCCGGCTTGCTTCTGGAGCACTTCCATCGAAACCGAAAAAAGTTACCTGGTTGCCGCCCCCCACTTAGAGTCCTTGAGTGATGACTCGCTAGTTAGTCTGTAGTTATCTTGGGCTACCACCTCATAGCCTCATAGCCTTCACACAATTATACAACTGGAATCCTTGCCACGCCTCTTGCGCCGACCGCACCAGCTCCAAGGCCCTCTGCCACTGGAAAGCCCTGCGGCAAGCTGCCAGCGCGGCGTTGTAAGAGACTGCATCCTGGAAATGGACAAAATACACCCGGGAAGAGTAACGTGGAACCTGAAAATTGACCTTTCAAAAACCTATTCTATCCGATTTTCCTCTGCAACCCCATGGTTTTCAGGTAGTTCCATGTTATCTTCCGGAGTGTAATGCAATCACTAAATCACTGAGCCAGCGACGGCCAGGGGTCTCGAGGATTGGCTTGTCGGACCCCTGTCCCGGTTCTTCTCCATGTCTGCGAGAACTTGCGTAGAATCACTCTCACATTACCCAAACACTCCATGGGACTGCCATATATGCCGATCAGGCCAGGGGTGGTGGACCGGGGGGGTCTTTCTGGGGCGGCAGTCCTATGGCAGTCTTATGGAGTGTCTGGGTGATCACATGGTAGATACGATCGGAAGGTGGCATTCCGCGAAGTCGACCGAGTCTACCGATGCCATCGACAGTCCAAGAGTGTCGGACGCAAGAACATCAGGCCCTCTGGCCACAAGCTCCATCAAGGTAAATCTGATGCCGTCTTTTAAAAGGGTTAAACTGTTAAACCAGCTACCGCACCTTTCCGGATGTGGAAACCCCAATGGCCATACCCTGGTTCATTTGAGGCTGTGATGCAAACTTCTCCACCTCATGCTGGGTCTAAAAACAACTTCGACCCTGCTTCCACCACTACTGGAAGTTCTGTGTCTCCTTGAAGCTTCTGAAGCTTCACCAGTATATGAATGGGCTCGAAGTCGTGGCCGACGCTCAGAACTAGACAACCAATTCCACACACACTGAGTACACTCATAGGACTGGCATAGTTTCATTGGGGCGGTCGGGTGCTGTCATCGGTCAATGTGGGCATATGGCATATTCATGCTGGTTCTTTGGGGGCCAAGGGCCAGGCCTATGATCTCATTGGTCAGAATATGGTCTCTTCGTGTGTGTTCTAAACTTCAACTGGTCATGCTGATTGTTTAAGCCAAGAACGCAACCAATAATATGCTCAAGATTGTTTAAGCCAACCTCGAAAAGAATAAACATACTACACAAAGAAAGGATCGCAGGGTGCATGTGGCGACCATCCGACCCCGGATGGAAAGACAGTCCGGCGTGAGGCTGTCAAAGGTCATACCTGGCGATGGGTGGACCGGACACACCCTTGGGGCATTCAATGAACTCCAAACAAAACCCCTTCACCCCCCATGTTCATCGTATAGAACACCCACGGACAGGTGTCCAGTAGGCTACGAAAGGACTCCAAACACCATCCCTTGGGGGTGCAGGTATAGAATCAATCTCTCGCCGGAAACGAGCAAATCGGTTGGGGGAGACTGGGGTGACCGCGCTACATGGACGAGCCTCACGTTGAAACGTGACGCAATGTAACAAACCAAACATTCCAATTGGTCAGAACTGATTGATTGCCTGTGCCGCATCTTCACTGAGTGGATTTTTGGCATCGACTGATGGGGACCCCTTCGCACATCGCCCTCCACAAACACCAATATGCTGGACACCATCTACACGAAGAGATGGACCTGTGAAGAGGCCGGACTTCGGACCGAGTGAAACAAACTCCCATCCGTTCAGGCCCCAAGTTCCTACGAAGGGACTGTGGCGGCCGGGCGGCCGGGCGGTCGACCGGAGCTCCGGCCTGCGAGGAGGTGCAAACTCTTCTGCCATTGCTGGCCCTTCTCCAAGGCGCTCTGCAAGGCGTTGTAGACCCACAAGGAGTGCGCACAGTGAGCCCCCTGTGCTTCCTGCCGAGTTTCTGGGTCACGAGGCGTCAACTCTTTTTTCCGGAGGGCCAACCGATGATCAGTGCCCCGGCACTGACAGCATAGTCTATAGTGCAAAAAGGTTGGAACCGAAGCAACGTTGCCCAGGAGCCTATTTGTATCTATTTGTGGAAAAAACATCGTCCAATTCTTATGGATCTACCTCGATGACTCCCACTGAGATCCGAGCTTTCCGGATCTCCGTCACAAACAGGCCACACCTTTTGCTGGAAAAGAAAGGTTGACCTTTTTTCCAGATTAGTGGGGCCCAGAGGAAAACTCTGGCTGTGAGGGTCAAAACTCTAGCTATGAGGGTCCAATGAGCCTTTGGGGGGGAAACCATCCCTCCAAAAAAGTCTTGCGACTGATCTTCGCTGCGCTCCTCAAAGAGCCCCACCGCCCGCTGCCACCGGTTGCTCTTCTCACAGGCACTGATGGCCGCGCTGTAAATGAATTCGTTCCTCAGCATCGGTGGCAAAGAATGTGGGGGATCCCCAGCGAACACGTAGTGGTATTTGTGTGGCATACCGTATGCCAGTATACCCGGTGTACCCCTAAGATTCACATTGTTTGTTTCAAGGGAAGTCACTTTCCGTCGATTTTATGCAACCGGCAGTCTTCTGCACCAAAGCTACTTAGCTAGCCAACCCATAAACGATAAACTCATCTACCTGATGTTGATGCTTTTGGTGTGTATGAAGATACTGATGAAGATGATGAAGAAGGAAAAAAATTAGTTCCCGAAGTCAAACTCAAGCTCTGCCACTTTGCCACTCAACCCACTCAAGCTCCACCTTTTCCCCATCACCCTCCCTGCGGTCCATCACCCCCCGAGCGTCGCCAGCACCCGCTGCCGCTGCGCCTGCGCAAGCAGCGCCAGGGCGGCGGGCCACGCGATGCTCTTCTCGCAGGCGCTGATGGCCGCGCCGTAGGTGACCTGGGGGCGCAAACACCTGAGGACCGAAAAAGGACTACAGAAAGACCTTAGACTCAGACATACATCCTTGGACCACTGAATGGAGACTTCAAGGGTGCGACTTCGAGGGGTGCGACTTCTGAAATTCCCAAAGAATTCCTACGGGTCAAATGGAGATTAACAAAACTAACTCCAACATTTGATGCCCTAACTACGTAGCAAAACAGGCGCCCTGAACCGCTTCGCAGCGTTGCTCCAGGCAAGACTTGGGAGCAAATCATCGAATCCCTTGTCACCTGGGATCACTGGGTTCCCAGCTCCTCATCCAACAGCTAAGGTCAAAATCCTTCCAATTCATTCAACGGGTACTTCCAACGGTGGCTTCCAACGGTGGACCTCCCCCGGTCCATCGCTCCTTCGATCACCCGGTGGATCCGACCCACCCCGGGGAGTCGCTCGGGAACGCCGCGAGGAACGATGTTGGGTTGCAGGTCTTGCGCGAACATCGACTGCAGAAAGTCAACGGCTAAGCGCCAGTCGTGGCTCTTCCTCGGTACAAGCGGTTTCTTTTTGGAGCCGCTCGTCAGTATGTGGGAGCCCTGCTAAAAGCATGCATGGTTTATGTCATGGCTCTGTTACAATATGAGGCCAGTCCAAGCAGCACTTGGTGAAACGGTGCAGGGTCGTGTCAACAAAGCCTAACAGCGCCTAGATGTGTTGGGCAGCCTACTATATAGTCCTATATTTTTGGCTAGACCGACCCATGCCGCCATCTATATAGCCATATGTTTATGATAATTGATCTTGGGGGTTGTGCCATCTACTCTGAAACAACTGTAGTATGGGAATGTCATGCAGTCTCCATCGCAATGCATCTGGAGGAGACCGCTAACAGAATGTCATCAGCCGCAGGATGCCGCAGGTCAGGAGGTCTTCCTTGTCTTCCCCCGTCTTCGCTGTCTTCATCCCCCCATTGTATGGACCAAAAACTCTTCACTGAGTGGATGAATTTTATCGTTTTCTCCAAGCGTCTCACAACAGGTGATCATGGCGCTGTAGCTCACCACATCGGGCGACACCCTCTTGGAGCACCTCGGATTTAACGTTTGGCGACTCAACCAGGGTGAGTCGAACCCCAAACCGGCAGCTGACATGAAAGCAAAGGACAGGGTATTGACAGTGGTTTGGGAGGCTTCAAGGCGAAACGGCAATTCTTCCCATCTGCAGTTAGAAGCCCCAACACCCCCCTCCTGGTTTTGTTTCCGCTTGGCTACAGGAGTGAGTCACGCGCCTATTGCTGAATCCAGGTTTCAATTGCCACATGGCAAAAAAAAAAAGTTCACTTATTACAAACCGTCAACATAAGTGATTCCATCTGGATGGCCTCTCAAATACTATTCCATCATATTCCATCCATTCCGCGCGTGGAACGAGTGGTGACTAGGGTGCATGGTGCTGAACAGGTCCACGGCCAACTCCAGCGCGCGGCCCGCAGCACATGCAGAGATGGCCGCGTTGTAGCTGAAGGTGTTGAGCGGGATGGAGCGTTCCTCCATGTCCTTGGCGACTCAAGGGTGGCTACTGAGTGATGTTCCGCACTGCCTGGGCGGTAGAATAATTCTTGCGCACATGGCGATGAAGTTCCTCTCCCAGAACGCAGGCGGTGATGTGGAGTGGCTCACTGTGGTGGTCTGAAGCTGTTTGAATGGGGGCACGGTTGTGATGTTCTTTGCACAAATGTCTCGAAAGAAGAATGCTGCCAAGCTAGTTTAGAGGCTTATTGAGGCTTTACTGCTGGAGTCTGCGTACCATCAAGGGGGAGGAAGGGATGGCCGAACGTGCACTAACACGTGTCATGTACAATCATATAAACAAAAACTACTAACATATATACACAAACGAATACATAATGACACATTGACCATGATAGACCAACTGCATTCAAAGCCCTGACAAGAATGACCGTGTGGGTTGTGAGGATTCCGAACCGCCCACACGGGAAACAGCGCGGATGGTCGCCTGAAGGCGTTCGGAGAGGTTGAATCCCAAAGGGCAGCTAATGTAGTATACTGTAGTGGATTGAGAGGACCAATGGCACAATCCCCCAAGTTCGGTGATTGGATTATGGACCCCCCCCATCTGTCTAAGAGATCTTGGGGTGTGGTTGTGCCATCGGAACCTCTGAAACCACTGTAACTGTAGCGTGCTGGAGAACATGTCTACCTTCAAGTTGGGCCCCGTGAAGCCAGAAGACTCACCTCCCCCACGTGCTGAGAGTGTCAAAGACCAACAGCAAAGCCCTCTGCCATTGCCATGCCTTTTCGCAGGCTGAAGTTGCTGTGCTGTAAGCTACCACGTCAGGCTGTAGACCATCGTCCATCCTCACTACACAAATGTTAGACTGACCTGGTCCTTGGAAGAAGTAGAAGGTTAACCTTCTTCAAGACCAAGGAGCAATTTACTGAAACAATATGAAACAATATTGAAACCTTGGCTTATCTCGTATCTTGATGCATCTTGTAATGTGACCGCTCACGCTGGCAGCAAGTGGGTGGGGGAAAAGGAATTGCCTTGGCGGCACAGGCCGTTGGACACCAATTGGCCAGTTCACTGCTCGGCTCCCGTCCTACTCGCTCTTGCCTCCATCTCCTTTTGAGGAGGGCCAAGCAGGAAAAAAAAACACGTCTCCTCCCTCAGGCAGCTGGCTGAGCAAACCCCTTTTAGAGGACATGGTCTCAAAGAGGCCTAGATTCTACTGGCAGAATGTGTCTTAAACACCCACTATAAATATGTAGATATACAGTATATATCTATATATGTATACATAAACATCTATATATGTATATATGTATATATATACAAAATATATATAATTATATATATATATTCTACTTTTCCCTGCTCAAACTGACATGACCCCGGCTTCTTCCTCGTCCTCCGAAGTTAGATTTCACAATGCAGGGATGAGTGCCCGTCACCCTCAAAAATCATGGAAAAAACATGGAACATATGGGTCAGCATACGTCATTCCACATATATAGCGACCGCGAAGAAATACAAGGGACAGGAATGCAACAGAATACTTGCGGTGTTCTGACATGTTCTGATCCACCCCTTGGTATCGTTCCATCACCAAGCTGCATGCATTTCAGGATGGCCACCGCACTCTGCCACTGGCTCTCCCGCTCACAGGCGCTCATGGCCGCCGATCGACAAATCATGTTGGGCGGACTTCGTCCGGCTCCGTGCAGGAGGGCCACGGCGGTCGCCCAGTGCGATCCCGCCTGCTTAGGACCCGCTCCACCCGCGGGGAGCGGGAGGTACCACTTCAAAAGCTAGGATTCTCAGGGCCCATCTTGCTGGTCAAGTGGGGACTTTCCCTATTTGGCTAAGTGAAGCACACAGTGTTCTTCTTCTTTTTATAAGATTCGATGGCGCAAACAACATGTCATGTACACCCTCCGAATGGTTGCACCATGTTGCACATCTCCGGATGTGGAACATCGCCTGTAGAGCGCAACTCTCCGCGACGCAAACCGACGCGTACAGCAGGCACCTCCCAGGCATGGATTTCAGCCAGGTGAACCACCGAGTCCAACGCCACCTCACCAAGAACAGCCTGGTCCAAAAGCACAAGAGCCCTCTGCCATTCCTCGTGCCGAGCTGGACCAAAAAGGAGATGTTTCTGCTCTCAGTTGATTCCACCTGGGGGAAGTCCTGAAGCCCAAAGCTGTTGGTTAGCAGGGGCTTCTCCTTGAGACACCTCATCTGCTGAATTTTTGGTAATCGAATGGTCGCCTAAATGGAAGCTATGAATGGATGAGTCATGTCAGTAGGTTTTTAAACCTGAATAAGAACAGGAATCAATGAAGGACGGTCTTCGACTCGTCGCTTCCAACAAAGGATTCCGGAACCAACATCTTCTTCTCACAGAATCATCAGAATCCGTTGCTTTTATATTCTTGTAACATGGACCAAAATAGACCTTCTCAGTGCAGCTGCACTGTGGATTCCATGCACGTGCTTTTCGGTGATCACCCCTGTTGGCAAGCAAACCATAATAAACCATAGCAAACCTACAAAGAGCAGCTGCCATCCGATCTCCCTCCCTACATTGTCCCCTCCAGCCGGGCTTCTTGCGCGCCCACACATGCGTTCATCACACTGCTCAGCATGATGGCGTTGCGGAGCCCTGCGCTTGCGTTCATCACACGACACGCGTGGACCGGACACGCGTTTCCGGCGCACCTGGGGGCCCACTGGTGCCTCTTTGGGATGAAGGCTAACCCAGATCCGAGAGCTCAAAGAGGTGGATTCCAGTCCACCAGTGGTGGGTCCACCAGTGGTGGGTCTACCAGTGGTGGGTCTACCAGTGGTAGTCCACCAGTGGTACCAGTGGTCCACTGGCTGTCTGAGGGATGCAAACAGGAAATCCATGATGTCCGTCTCCCGAAGCGAATGCGGATGACGAGCTTAGAGGAGGCCCGGGCCTTTGAGCCATGGGGATAGAGGTAATTCCAATAAAGGGTACGAGTCAGTTTAGATGATACTATATAGATGTATAGAATGAAGCACTGGTCGAAGCACATCAAATACCATGCCCCATCCAGGGAAATTCAACTGAAAGTGTCGTTCCTCTGTACGTCGTTGCTTTTGAAATCATGAAGCCGTTGCCCTTTTTCTTCTCTCTCTCTCTCTCTATCTCCTTTCAAAGGTGTAAGGAATGGGACCCTACCCATGCTTGTTGAAGGATTTTGCAGCGCTGCAGGATGGGCAAACCCAGTTTCCCCACAAGGTGCAAAACAGTGAAGCTCTGTTCAAAGCACCTTTGGCATGGTGTCCAAGATTATCAGTTGTTACCAGCACCCCAACTACCCCCACCCCGCTCAAGGCCCAACCTCTCCCACCCCCTCTCTCCTGCTTGCTCGACCACCTCGAGTGCTTCTTGCCATCCCTGGCCACGCTCACAGGCCACGCAAAGGGAGGCCCAAGCCGCGGTGGAGGGACGCAGCGCCAGCGACTCAAAGAAATGCCTTGAGTAGTGCGTGGCCGAGAAAAAAACACATGCGCCGCTTTTGAAAAACAAAAAAACTACTAGCAGCAAGAAGCTACTAGTAGCTAAGGGCATTGCTACTAGTAGCAAAGACGCTACTAGAATGCAATTCTAATACGGAGTGAGTGAAGGGATGTGAGACACGACACAGACGACCAAAGCTCCTCCTTTTGTAGATATCATATGATATCATGACCGTCTAAAATCATGTCTTTGGGAGCATCTGCTACCTTGCTTTTCATGTGCATTTTGCTTGTGCCATTGCAGGCAGATCGCTGGAAAGGCTAGCGGCTGCTAGCTTCGGGATTGACATGGAGCACGACCAAATCACTCAATCGAATCACGGCCCGTGTTGGTCTCTCATGCTCTATCTATTCTACAATGGAACGAAGAGTTGCATCAATCTATTCTCGTCTATGGTCTCCTGGTGCCATGAGGGTGCCATGACGGGTCTCCTGATGCTCACTTGCTTATATAACATGCTCCAACTCGACGGCTCGGTTGGGAGCGTGGGTCTGCCACGTTCGTTTCACCGAATCGAAGTCTGTTGGGGTTCCCCAGATCCACCATGGCGCTCCATCTGGTGCTCCAAATTGGGAGAGAACATGAAGGTTTTCTGTACATCTGACGCAAGGGTTCTGAACATGGGATGTGTACAGTTCAAGACCCTCCCGCCACTGGATGTTACTCTTCCATTCCTCCCAAGAGCCTCTGAAAGGTCTCCCTATTCCCAGTCCTTGTCGGATGCACGCACTCATTCCCATTACCCGACCAGGGCCAAAACACCAAGTAGAGAAGGCCTTCGACAGCTGCTGGCCACGGCCGCAAGCGGCGACCGTGGAGCCTAAGGTGATGACCTTGAGGACGGCCGAGGGGCCGTTGGGTGTGTTCCCTCACCATCCGAACTATGGGGAATTATACATACACTCCCTGAAACAATCATGGAGGGGGAACGGTTCGGCCCCTGGAAGACCAATTTTCCTCTACGGAGTTTTGGTCAGCTTCCGTGATTGTTGGAGGGAGGGTACAACTACTTCAATTACTCCAGTAAGATGACCCCAAATGATCCCCAATGTAACTATTCCATACAGAGATGGTCTGGGGATGGATGTGGAACTTCATGCTCGTCCGTGGCTCCTGGGTGAAAATAAACAATGACTCTGTGGCTCCAGAAGTGCTCTGTGCAAAGGATACCGCGGTAGTGTTCTTCGCGTCTCTGTCACTCCCTCCCCATCCCACAACTCCATGCCACTCAAGATTACTCAGCTACTCGGTCTAGCAAGATGTGGAGGGGGGGGGGGGCCACCAGGCGACCTCGGTCTAGCCAAATCATCAAGCCTTCCCTTCAAACATGCCGAGGTGCGGAGGGCTCCAGTTCTTCTGATAGCATGAGCTCCAACAGTGCCAGTGCTGGACTCCACTCTCCAGCTGTTTCACAACATGCCTTGGCTCAAATCATTCATTACCACTAGGCTACGAGTAACAAAGGGCATCGCTAGTAGTTGCTTCTTGTTACTAGTAGCGATGCCCTTTGCTACTAGCGATGCACTTCTTACTAGTAGCTTAATAGTTTCCAGGATGTGTGCTTTCGAGCACTCGAACCCACAACTTGGGAGCACCAAATGCTCGTTCGCTGTGTTGCGCTCTCAAGACCTTATATAGGTCGATAGAAAGTTTGAGCATCTGCCCCACTGGGAGTGGATCGACAGTGGTTCTTGAAACATAGAATTACATGAACATTAACTGAGCAGCACTGCAGATTAATTCTTGGTAATTTAGGGTGCGTTTGGAAGTGTTTTGTCAGGACGCCTGGGGACAGGGCTCTAACATGCTCTAACATATCTAACATCATCCAAATCTCCGGAATTTGATGAATTGGTGTACTGTACTGTTACTGTACATTTCTTTCTTGGGAGCAGTCGCCACTAAAGCTATCATTTCACCTCAACCCAGGGGCAATGGCTGCATTGATGACCACCGTGCTGGGCAAGATCATCTCAGCTTGCCTTAAGAATCCGAGGACGCAGATCGTGGAGGGTTGAAGTGTGCCTGGGGCATGCGCCATAGCCCACAACTCTGAATAAACACACGATAGCAGAAATCGACCCCCCCTCTGTCCCAAATCCACCATGACATCCGAGACATTGCTGACTCTGCTGAGGCTTCGACTTCGACACGAAACCGTAGCGCATCCTGTTGTGCGAATGATTTCCCATAGGAGGGGGCTCTCATTTATTTGGGCGCCATTCCCAGTATAGTTTCGAGACAATCCACCATCGTTTCACCTGGCACCCGCCCAACGGCCTTCTCTTCCTTTAGGCAAACGACAAGCAGCCCCACAGCCTGACCCTCGGGTTTCCCTAACAGGCATTCCCCAAGTATCCAGCGCCAACAAAGCACTAGTTCTTCCATGTTCTTCATGTCAATATGTCAATGTCAATGCACATCAGCGCTTAAAGCCCCCTTGAACCCCAATGGAAACCTGCTCCCCTTGTGTGCACCAGCCACATGCCCCTCAAGAGCTCCAAGGCCAACGGCCAGTGGGGTACTGCCGCCACCGCTGCACCGTAGGCAAACACGTTCCGCTGTAGGCGCCCAGCATGCCTTGGGTGCGTACCGCTGGGTGGAAGTAGTTCATTCCAAGTAGCCACAGAAGGGGTGTCTATTTTTCGAGCACACGCCGAAGGGATGCCTCCCTGCGGGTCTGGAGAGTTCAGCGGCTTGTGTCCACTCGGGGCTCCCAAGAATCGGCGACTGGCGACTTCAACGCTGAACAAATACTTGCCTTCAGGCGACTTCAGTCGACAAATGCCTTCCCTGTCAATGAATCTGTCCCATCGTTTTCGGAATGTCTCCTCAGGCTATTTGCCCCTATTTGCCAGGCACCCACCGAATGATAGGTTGCCACTCTGCTTCAATTGGAACATGCAACCCCTCCTCGAATATACTTCCGACGCGCTCAAAGGTGACTCTTAGCAACATAGCACCCTATGACTGAGCAACTTCGAAAGGCTCTATCAAAAGAACAGCCAAAATCAGGTGAGCAGCATATTATTCAACTGTTCAAGTGCTGCTTCCCATTGACTGCCCCGCTCCAGCGCCGTTATGCTGCTGCAATATGCCATTTCATCCTCAGTCAGCGTCGGCCACGTGGCTTGCTTCCTCGCGACAAGTCCTTCATACCCCAGACTCCCTGCATACAGAGTAGCCTGTAGCTATTTTAAAAGGTCCAAACTATCCTCCCAACGGGTCGACCCCCTCTCCCGGAGAGAGCCAAACTCAAGAAAGTGCATGTTCACTAGTCTCTGCGATTCTCCTGCGAATACATCAACAGGATTTGAAAGGATAAAGGCATGAAAATACAAATGATGGATCATTATGTTAGTAGTGATTGAAATGCTTGCATCAAGAGAAGGCCTCCCTCTGAACCCATCTTTGCAACACATCTTGACCCTCTAAAGCCACCCAGTTCTCATCTCCAACCATTATCTTCTGTGTCAATTTGGTAGCAAACACCCAACCCCGCCCCCACCCTTCTGAAACCTCAAACCGCCCAGGCACCACCCGGACTGCTGCTCGTCCGATCACTTCGAAAGCCTGTAGGGCGACAAGCCAAGCCGAACGCTTGGAGCTGCTGGAGATGAAGGCGCTGCAGGCGGCCAGGTCCAGCACCAAGGGAGTCCTAGGACCGTCTGGACCGTGGCGGGTGGATCAAACACAGCTCCATGCGTCGCAGGGAGGGTGCTGCGGTGCTCTAAATTGGTTCATTAACAATTTATAAGAAAAGCGACTGTTGTTTCGGCTTCGGGGGCTGAACCTTCACAGAGTCTCATGTCCGTGTGTGTGTGTGTGTGTGTGTGGGTGTGTGTGCGTCTTAAGACCTTCTCACCTGCCTGTGTGTTGTTTTTGCCTCGAAGCGTTTTCATGCGCGCCATCCGTGGGGCCCCGCCAGGGCCTTGATGCCCAGCTGTCCAGCCATTTTTTGGATCAACTCCTGATCCAGCAGACCCAGTTAAACAAATATAGAGTCCTCAAGACCCATCTGGAGCAAATGTCCAAAGGCTCCAATCAATCAACCGAACCCCACGTGGTCGAACGAGGCTCTGCTGGACCTGAGCCAAGAAAAGCTTCAGTGCATCTTGCCACTGCGAAGCCTTCGCCAACCACCCCAGCGTGCGCGAGGGATTCCGCCTGTGGAGCACATGAGGAGCGCTGTCAAGGGGAGCGGCCTGTTGTAGCAATTCAAATCATTTTTCTGGTGGTTTGGCTCCAATACTTGCCATCCAGTCACTCTCGTTCCTGATTTAGACATTCATGCTATCACACCTCTACCAATGGCGACGCATGGTGGCTTCACAAACCGCCTTCTGGTGGCTTCACCCACTCCACAAGCTTTTCCTCCCAAGTTCCCCCATTGGGAGCCGCCGGCATGTTCCATGCCCAGAGCTAATTCTTCAGGTGCCAAGTTGGCACGCCCAAATGTCACTAGAAAAAGACGCTCGACCTCCATTCCGAGGGATGACGTGGCACAACAAATGATCAAGCAACTAGAACGTGCCACCTTTGAACAAATGTGGTTCCCTCATCATTGTTTCTCCTGTGAGGACACGACCCAGGTATGTATCGCAACAGTCCAAACAAACCCGGGCGGGCGCTAGATTCATTTTGCAAGAATGGCTGTAGATTGCAGGTTTCTCTTCCCCAATGCTGTATCACACACTCACTTCACACAATCATCTACTATATATAGCTATCAGCTGAGCTGAGTTTCCGCGGGCTGAATCTGAATTCTGGTTTTCTAGAGCCAAAACTCGGCAGAGGCAGCGCAGTGACCGTCGACCAGATGTTATAGAGTTATTTTATATCTACATATGTCTACCTCTATACAAAGACTGACGTCAAACATGCCATGTCTCAAGTTCGTCAAGTTTTAAGGATTTGTATTTTTGTGCTTTCCGGTCCTGTGGCTTCATCCAGCGCATGAGGCAGGTTCTTATAGAAATGAAAGTGCTTATACGTGCTTATATATATATATATCGTCCGGCCGGCAGGGCCAGGAGATATGAGGTGACTCACTACTGGCACGGTGACACCATGTAACATGGACCATGTAACAAGGCACGGAAACACCGGAGAAGGCACTTCATGTCATGACACTAAACAGGGTTCCGACAGAGACAGCAGAGAGAGAGAGAGAGAGAGCAAGAAAGAGAGGATCAAAGACCCCGCAAGCCAATGGCATGTCACGTACAGTACACCCGGGAGCAGACCCACATGGAACTTGATGGCATGTAGCTTTGGACTTGGAAGACTTGCTTCCACAAACCAGTGGTTTTCAGAATCCATGTTTACTTTAGAGGGCATATTTATCTTGGTTGTTCGATGCTGCGCTGCCTAGATCACACGCCCATTGTACATAATCCTGTTTTGGGGTAGGATGTTGACTTGAAGTGTGCTGTCAGCATAACTGAGATCAACATACAGGCATATACAGGCAATGTAAAGTCGAAGCTTGTACTGTCTGCTGGTTCAGGTTTTATATATATATGTGTGTGTGTGTGATATTTCTACACAAATCATACTGAGCGCTTTTAGAGATGTTCCGCTTGGATTTGGGGCTTTTGCCCTTCAAGACTTCAAGAAGACCTTCAAGATTGGATGGAACACTGCGCGGTTTCGGCGCCGGGTTCAAAGCACAAGAACAACAACAACAACAACAACTGCAAACTCTACAATGTGTGGCTGCGGAAGCCTAGGCATCTCCAGAACCCGCTGCGGGTTACAGCCAAGGCCCGCTAAGGCATCCGGCCAAGGCCCGCAACACGGCGGCACGGCCTCCCTTGCCAGCCTGGAGCAAGTAGATAGTTGAGGCATGGAGGCAACTCTAAGCAAATCCTTCACCATTTGATAGTCCAGCATATCATGATATATCATGTATCATTGCCATCCATTTATGAGGACATATTCTGGGCATCTCTTGGTTCAATAAACTGGTTTGATGGCGCCAAGCCGCTGACTGTAATAGAAGAGATCCAAGCCAAACCGAGCACAAGAGACAACTGCACCACCATGCCATGTTTCTTCCACAAGGAGCGAGAACAAAAATCACACCAGTCAGTCACCTAATCTTGTCGTCATAACCACGCGTCCATACCTGTCATGCCTGTCACCCCCATCCGCCGCTCCTCCCTGGCAACTCCGATGAGGATCTCTTGGCACTCTGCCCTCGTCTGACCCAACGGCCCCTGCAAAAGTGCCGATGACGGCGTGGCGGCAAGCAGTTTTGGGTTCACCTGCGGCTGTTCTGTCGGAAGCCAATGGGTTCACCTGCGTCACCTCATATAAGAGGTCATTTTCTGAAGGAGCTGGACTTGGGGGCTTCCTATAGCCTAAGTATATAGCCTCTATATGACTATATGCTTTAATTATATACTTAGAATAGAAATGAACCCCGAACGTCCCTACAAATCTGAGGTGCGCACCGTAGTGGTACCATTGAGCTTCTCCCCTGCAGGTGCCTACCAACAAAGCTGAGCTTTTGTCATCGTGGGTCCAGATGACCAAAGCTAAAGCCTTGGTCATCTGGAACTACTTCAGGCTTCTCCTCTCAATACAGTAATGCGTGCCATTCAAAGGTATCTGAATCTCAAGCAAAACTCTATCAACTCGTATCAACATGACCAAAGAAAAACAACACACGTTTTCTAGGTGGTCTGACGCCCTCTGTCTCTCTCATGATTTCTGCTGGCTCATTTCTGCTGGCTCATGGCCATCACTGCTCTCACCAGGACAGCTCGTCGTTCTGCTCGCCTCCTCCACGGTGCGATCGGCTGCAGTGGAATAGACCTGAGTGAAGCCACATGAAGCATCATGAAGCCACAGTCCTTCGCTGACATTCCGTCCCCATCCAGCTCAACACCAAGCTGCTGTTGGACCACCAGTGGCGCAGGCCAAGGAGGAGCTGGTGCCTCTCAGCACCATGACCCAGTCCCAAAAAAAGAACCGAACTGGCATACAAGCTAAGAGACTTTCTGGTAGTGACTCATTTGCTCAAAAGGTGTGTAGCGAAAAAAACACCTACTATATATAGTGTTGTCATCGTATGTCATCATGGCGACACAATACTCTGTCCACACCTCTTAGATCCTTAAATCTAGTCCTCAAATGCTCATTGGTGCGCGAAAGGAAGACGTATGGCTCGGCAGTCTTTTGAGTCACTTCTCTGAGCGTGGAGTCGCAAAGCTCATAGTCTAAGAACTGCAGCATGCCACGGCGAAATTTCACCTGCCAGAGATGCGCGCGTGAGTCGTGTTTTTTGTCCCTTTCCCTTTCCCAGTTCTGAAAGAATGTCCATGGCCGGGCTGCCTTCATAGGCTTCGCATATTGTCAAAAGGATGTTCCAAATCCTCTTGGGAAGGAGCCGGGATGAGCCGGGCTGATCGTCTCCACAATCTCCATAGCATTGTCCTCGTAGAGATGCTTCCCCCGTCATGTCCAAGCCCGTGATGTGAAAAAACCCGCAGGCTGCGCAGGTTTCATCTGCTCCCCTTCACCCAACAAACCGAAAAATCTTGGAAGTGGAAAAGGCCCTGTTGGTGGATGGAGTCGGACCCCAAAACCCAGAAACCCAGGACCCACCACTTCCAAGATCGGTCGCACACTCCGATGCACGGTCCGAGGAGGAAACCGTTTTTTAAGTTTAAATAGCACCTTCCCAGCAAGGCCAAGCCCTGTCGAGTAGCTAGGGCATTACTATTAGTAACAAGGGCATCACTATTAGTAGTAACACGTGCATTACTACCAGTAGCAAATAGCTAAACAATGCTAAACATAGTAGCACATTAGCTACTAGTAGCGATGCACATTATATAGCTATATTAGTAGCAATGCACTTTTGGACTGTAGAGTCGAGCCTGTTTTACAGTTCGATCGCTGAAAAGCCTCGCACCGCTGAACCCGGAGCCTCGCACCAACAAACCCAAATCAGCGCCCAGGACCATTGCTCATGGTCTCCAAAGCACGCAGCCAACTTCTCTGCCTCGCCATGGGGGGAGAAAAACCCGGAAACGGTGGAATTCGTGGGACGGGCAAACCAATGACCAACGCACAAGAGCTTGGGGAAATGCATATGTATGCAATACATATATATATATATATATTTATTTATGCAATATAGAAAAACAAAGTTGTTCTAGTGAGTTCAAGCAAAATCAATTACTGCTGTCCAAACATGATGGACTTGGGTGAGGTCTGAACGGGTCGACGGTAGGTCCATGTTGCTTAAACTCTTGTGCTAGATCTTGGATGACCCGAACCCTTACAAGTGGCCAACCGCCATTCGCATGGCTTTTCGGTTCCTTCAAAACACCACACGACCCCTATTGCGGCGTACGGCGTAAGAAAGCCGCAAGAAAAACTCCGCGCAGCTCATCTTGTTTATATCTGTCATTACTTCTGTCATTAATATGTAATATGATGTAATATGTAATATGTCTCACTATGTCTTTGGGTTTTGGACTCTCGCGCGCCGCCGTCTTCTCTCGCGCCCCATCCGCGGCACCTGGTGGTGTTCGTGCCGATACTTGGGTCCTCCCAAGTGGCACCGGAGCTTGCTCTCACTCAGGCGAGCCGTGTCGTTCACCGACACCGCGCTGGTGTCCACTTCCTGCCCGATTCCGCGATGCAGCGCTGAGCAGCTTGAGCAGCTTGGCAAGCAGGTGGGACTAGGAGGGTGTGGTTTGAAAGCTGCTATAGCAACAAAGGGCATCGCTAGGAGCAAGAAGAAGCTACTAGTAGCAGCTTCTAGGAACACGGGGATATCTTTGATACACCTGGGAAGAGAGCCACATGGAGCGTGATTATTTACCTTTCGAAGACGATTTTCCTGTACAACCCAGTGGTTTTCAGGTGTTAATTGTCCGTATTTTTTTGCAGTTCTGAGGTGGGAAAGCAAGAAGTCTGAGAGCTCGTTGCATTTGTTGATCTTTTCGAGACTGCAGCACAGTGGAAGGTGCGGTGCCGACCAGGGGTTGCTGCACCCTGCCCGGCATGGCCGTTCTCCCCAAGATGGTGCTCCAGGTCGGTACCAAGCAACACATCAACCAAAACTGGAGCTATCCAGTCGTGACCATTGGTCGTGCTTTGGTCAATGAAAGGGCTGATTACTCGAACTCGGAGCATCCAACAACACCCAAAGCATCCTTCCTTGCAGAGAGCCTTTCTGATGTCTTTCTTTTCTCTTGCTTACACAACCTGCAATGGCTTTTGTTGCTTGCACGGAGTATTGCCCATCGCCTTGCGGCTGTAACGGTTCGAGCACTCGAGAAAGGCAGGCACCTTAGGCTCTTTTTCGGCAATTGCCCACAAATCCAAAAGCCAGCACAGTCGCAGTGTCATTTGAAACAGTCTGAAACTATGTACCACTTTGGAATGCTGTGCAAAAATAGACTCCTTGAGTTTCTTTGGGAGGGATCTGCAACATGGATTTTGATGGAATTCTTCCAACGATGGACCCTGGCGAGGAAAACGAGGGACTTCATGAGATGTGCCGTGCAAAACGAGGGTTTTGCCACCGAACTGTAGGATTTTCCACCGAACTCACCGCCACAGTCGCGGCTTGGCTGACCCACTAGTAGGTGCCCTCATATATAACAACTATACATTAATACAATACATACCAATACTCATATCAATACATGATATGCATAGACTCATGTATGGAATATTTGACCCTGAAACCACCCCAATGCAGGTAGGTAAATGTAAACAACTTGAGGCCAGAGGGGGTGAACGAAAGCTAGCTAGGGGGTGAACGAGAGTCGGGTCGTCAGGAATGGGCGCTGCTGCGCTGGGTGCTCTGCTGGCGCCGGGTCGTCTGCTGCTGCTGGCGCTGGGTGGTCTGCTGCTGCTGCTGCTGCTCTGGGTCTGCTGCTTCTGCTGCTGCTGCTCCTTTGTGGTTTGCTGCAGCTGCTTGGTGGTCCCGCTCACCGCGCGCAGGGGGGAGTCGAACCGGGGGGGGGGTCCATAAGATTGATTTAATCAATTATTTGAGGTTTCTGAGGTGCGTCCACCCCGTCACTTAACTTGCTAAAGCAAGAGCAACTCCAGCTAGCTAAGGCTAGCTTTCGTGAATAGGTCCTGTCATACATGGAGTGTCTGAGTCTGGGTATGATTCATTCAACATCACTCAACAGTCGAATGATGCGACTGGATGCGGTTCGCACTTTACAAGATTGCAAGCCCTGTCTTTGGTGAGATCGAAACAGAACGAATCACTGACAAGATCGACACAGAACGAATCACTGAGAAGAATTGAAGGTGAGTGAGGTTCCACCCAGTCTTGATTTGCATGCTTCCATTTGCTGTGCTTGCTCATGGGGAAAGCAACTGCCGTCTGATGTCATATTGCCTCCAATCCATTGGACAAGTTTCACGACTGGTTCTTGCTACCCTCTCCACGCTGATAAGCCTTGGCTCGGCCAGCGGAAAACCTCTTCCTTGTTTTCTATGCGGAATGTCCTGCGGCCACGGCGCTGGCAGGCGCCGGATGAGCTCGTGATAGCCCAGCTGCATCAAGCGGAGGCCGAAGAAGGTCCTGAGGCTGAAAAAATGACCCTGAGCTAAGCACAAACTCACCGTAGAAACTATTGCTAGGATCTGGCAGAAAAACAAAGTATAATACGTAATTGGTACATTACCCCAGATTACCTCCAAGCAACTTCTTCTCTAGCCTAGCAGCTTCCATGCTTGACCAAAGAGGGGGGGGATGGTGATTCTTACAAGGATATATGATATATGGTATATGATGATATATGAGGGTCTCATAGGTCTTGCAATCCGGTGGATGGTTTGGCCCACTACGTAGTGGAAACAGCATCAATCCGCTGCAGCCTGGCAAAGAAGAGAATCAAGGCAGCTATACTTGTCAAATCATCGATTCAGTCCTAGTACAGTATATAGCTAATCTTGATTGATAGAGAAACCCTCCATTTGGATGCGCGAACTTGCGGTCTGATGAGCACGCAAAAAACTCTACCCCTTAGGTGGGTCTTTCCAAATGTCAAATACTACTGAGCAAGACGATGCTTGTCATAGCACAAAAGAAAACAGTGAAACCAAATACAGTAACCCTCCATTTGGATTGTACAACCCATTTCAACAACACAAAATAGAATGCGTCACAGCTCAGCGGGTCCGATTATTGGTTGTTCTCCTCACGTTGGCCCGCTTCCCCTTCCGCATTTCTGATCAAGGCTCTCCGCACCCCACCAGGGTAGCACCTGTGCCGCCTAGCAGTGCAGGACCACTCTATCAGCAGGTGATCACATCTTGAAATGGGAAGAAACATACCCATTCTGCCATTCTTACCAAGCCACCAAAGCACTGGATGGAGTACGGTAGTCATTCCTGCATTTCTGAAAAGGTATCCAGGAGAATCCCCTTTCTATTCAGTGGGGACAAGTATAAGCTCTTTTCTTTGTGGTCCTTTGCTCAAGCCCGATCGTAATTGTGCACCACGGCCAAATGGAAGCTCAACCGAAAATCAACTTCTCGAACTGGAATACAACATAGACTCCGACTCACTGACATGGAACTGGAAACCTCCGCATTGGTAGCAAAAAAAAAGAAGCCTTCCCGCGGACCATTTTCCACTTCCATGTTAGTGACTCGGAGAGTAGTCCTTTTCCCTCGGTTGAAGCTTGCCCAGCAGCCTGACATGCATGACACTGCACACTCCATCGGCATGTGAAGGTTTGGATGGAGGTAGGAAACAGTCAAGAGATGTCAAGAGCAACGCCGGTTTTGCAATTTTTGCTCAACAACTGACTTCACCAATTTAATTGGTTGTCAGTTGTCAGTGACCGTGGCTTTGTGGGTCTGTCAGAACCAGGTATGCCCATCGTTCCCGAAAACAACATATGAAGTGCCTCATTCTTGCCGGAGAAAGCACCTCATCCTTTCTCCTGCCTGTCCCCTCTTTCTCGGAAGCCCCTCTTTTCCTCACCAATTCTGAATTCTTCAACCCAACGTGGCTGCCTGGTGCATCCATACAACGAAGCCGTCGACAATATGATCCTCGGAAGCCGCTGATCTGATCAAACGGAGATACAGCGGTCCGGAGGCGGCAAAAGCAAGGACTCTGATGATGCATGATGCATGGCATGACCTTTAGACAAGGGAAACACACAAACACAAACACACACCCAAAAAGAAACACATATATAATATAGAATCAGAGTCATAATATGTCATAATAAAATCATCAAAACACCACAAGCAAACATCTCCAAAAGCAGCATGCATGAGCCATGAAATCGGACATTCACTTGAAGGATTCCAACGAATGACCGGTGTGATCCTGATCGTTCCACCGGGGGCGCCCAATCCATCGGTCCAAACCAGTGCCGTGGTGCGCGGATCTTGAACACCACCACCCCTCTTTCAGTGCTCTTGCGCACACCTATGACTCATGTCTGCGGCCGCTGTGCAATGAATTATCACCACCACCACCCCAAACAAGAACACCCATCACATGCAAAAAGACACCTGCGGCTGGTTCCCTGCTCATCACCACGCATGGGGAGCTGCCTACGCTGCCTACCGACAGCCAAGGAACCCAGGCGCCCAGGACCACTCGCATCAAATGCCGCGGGAAAATCCAATGACGGTCATTGAGGCCACCGTTGTCCTCCGACCGCGTCCGACCACGACCGCTTCCGGGCCGGCGCTGGGCCGTAGACGGGTCATCCGGTGCACGGTGCCCGAGGAACGAAGCGAGAAGGAACTTGTTCGGATTCCGCTCGGATGGAAGTTGCATCCCAACAAGCACATAGAGCCGCACACTTTGACTTGTGGGATCTCCTGAAGAATTTGCACCAGCTCAGGTGAAGAGTGTGGTTTCCTTTCGTTCAAGTGCAACCTTCCCGGCACAAGCCAGCTGTTTGGGGTGTGGTCAGTGACCACTTCTACCCAAACCTTCCGCATACCACGTGTCCCCTCTTTCCCACCGCCGAAACCGACGAACGGTGCGAAGCACGTGGAAGTCCTCACCATCCATGACCCAAATGTGCTCGGTGGAGAGGTAGGACAGTGGAATGTGAGGAGCGATCCTGAGGGGACCAGCAATCAGCAATCCCCCTATTGTGTATTTTAATAGGGGTCCACCTCCCAACCAATGGATTTCGTTCCCAGGGCTCCTTGAAGGGGTCTTCCCTAGTTTAATACACGCCCATGTGGGTGAGCCTCTGGGGTTTGTCCGCCCCCGGAAAAGGAAGCGAGACCTGAAGCGGGAATGGGCAGAGCGGCTCAGGAACTCGTTTTTGACACCGAAGCCTCTTGTCTGAGTAGTTAGGAAATGGGATGAGGAGAGATTAAAGAAGAGGTCCGCATCACGCCTTATACGCTTAATTAATTTATATTTTTATATCAGTACCGGCAGTACCGGACATGAAAAATTGTGCTGAGCAGGATGCGCATCGTGCTAGCGTCTTAAATTTTCTCCATGGTCAGAAGGTGCTGATGCGGGATGCGTAAAACTCCGACAATCCATCTCCTGAGGCTCAGCTCTGCAATGAAAACGGCAAAATATTGTCACACCCTAAGGATCCAAGTACCCTCTGAGAAGGTGTTTGGGGTGTCCAAGTACCATTTGAGGAGGTACTTGGATCCCTAGGGACAAAGTGTCACAAAGTACCAAACCACCGAACGATGAACATCCCCATGGTTGGGAGGGTTCCCGGCCCGCGCTTCTTGGGAGACCAGGCAGTGGAACCACCGGTGCCACCTTCCACCCGCGCCATCCGTTCTTCGCAGATTCCAATGGAAGTCTGGTCGGCTAAAAATGATGCGCTCGTAGGGCCTGCCACGCTTAGCCTCCCAGTCCTGCGTGTTCATCGATGGTCGTCGGGAGTAGAAAAATGCGGTTGCCCGCTGAGCCAAGGAAAACAGAATCTGTAGAGCAATTGACGTTGCAAAGCAAAGCAAACTAGCCAGAAACTTCAGTTTAGGACCAAACACACGTCACACGTAAATACATATATGCATATCATATATATATATATATATCGACTATGTAGACTACTGTAAATGAACACTTTCTATACATAGAGAGACATAAACCGTTGCACAAAAAACAGCCAAAACAAACAGTAAAGCGTAAGGCGTACGCAACCCCTCATATATGTTAATACATGCATTTCAGAAGACCTCACCAAGCTCTGCTCCTCATGTCCTCCTCTTACATCACCCAAAGGAGTCACCATGGCCATAACCAGCACAACAAGTGCCACCCGTCAACAGCTCAACACCTGAATGGTTCGTCCCTATCGTTCATTGTTCCAGCAGGGATGCAATTTGGACAACAACCATGTGTAACCTCAACGCAACCTCCACACATAGACAGTTGAACTTCTGAAAAATGAACAGCGCACGCAGGTTCAGTCTACACTTCCACAAACAATCAGCAGTTTCGTGGAACAAAGGCCCAAACCAATCTCCTCCTACCACGCATCCTCCTCAGCTATCCTATTACCTGGATCCTCCTTAGGGCCTTAGGGCTGAAGAAAGAGCCGGACTTCAATCCGGCAAAAGATTTCAACCGGATTCAGAGGAAACGAAGACCTGACAAGACATCCCGGTCCAAGATTCTGCAAAACAGGGATGGTGGAAGGCTGGATCATGCACAAGCAAGCCCTTTGCGCCACGGGTAGCTGTCTTTTCCGGAACACGCATATCCCACAACCCAACACTGGTGCCTTCCCGTTTCCCTTGCCCTTGCCCATCTTCCGAATGGCCTATAAGAGCAGAACTTTCCCAAAATATAAGCTAACCTGTGCCCAAGCAAACACTTCCAAGAACAAAAGAAGAGTATGTGGCAAGGAGCCCCTCTCTCTCTGCAACCGTGTCTTTTAAAGTTCTTTACTAAAGGTGGTTTGCTCCTCAGGAAGCTTTTAGCTTGCCTTAGGACCTTAGGACCTTGACCCCATGGGTCCAAGGTAGCACCCCTGGGTCCAATCACTCTTCTGTCTGACTCAAGAGGCAAGCCCCTCCACAAACTGAGCAACGCCGGAGTTACGTAAGCTGACGTGTCTGAACCATGACGTGTCTGTTTTGGGCAACTCTCTGCAACACATCGAATGTCTGAACCGCACGCGTTCCACAAAACAAAACTTGTCCGGCATGGTCTGCAAACCGCTTAGGTACACCCACCTGTATCTTTCAACATGTGCCATGTGCATGGTACTGTGCCGAATTCACGGCGATATTTAGAAGATCCCTGGTTGAGCCAGTGTGAACCAGTGAGCCACTGTGTTGAAACCGGCGGCATGAGAAAGCAGCCGAACAGGCAAACGGGCAAACTTTACAAGCAAAATCATATCAGCAGTGGGTTTACCTTCCAAGAAATATGGACCACAAAGACTGCAAAGCCTTGAGAATCCACATAGTAGATCGTAGTAGCGTAGTAGTGACTTGGAAAAACTGCCGGACCAAATGCAGAAAAACGCCCGAGTTGGAAGTTAGGTGCCGGACCCCGTAAACGTGCCGGTCTCAAGAACTATAGGTATTCTTCGGGTCAGTGACCCCGTCTCGTCGATTCCACCATCTCTGTTCTGCTTTAATTCCTCGCAAGTGGCGCATTGTTCCTCTTGTCCTCGATCATCAGCATGCATTGCTTCTGCCCATAGATGAGGCAAAGTCCGCTGCCCTTGCGGCGCATGTCTCGACCTGAACCGGGAACGACGGACGTGTTGAGATGTCACGTATATATCTATAGTCAAGTCTTGATGAACAAAACCCTTCAAGGAATGGACGAACGAGCTTCGTCCTCTCTCCAAACCCATCCATTCCGCCGAAGACCGTACCAACTCTCAAACTCCAATGGTGATCTTTCACACATCGGGCGCGAGCCATAATATCTGTGTTATAGATTGTTTATAGCAACGTGCGTTCGTGGGCCCTGGGTGCGACCGACATGTCGCTCTCGGACTGCGGCCTCTGCTCTCTGGAAGCTCTCGGTCCAAACAGCCGAGCCAGTTCCCACGGATCTTCAGCGCTTCGGCCAAGAAGGGCGACTTGGAACCTGACCGTTGTGCGGTTGGCCGCTCAAACGGTTTTTTTCGCTGTCTCGTTTGATGTCCTCATCCGCCGCAAAACAAAGCTAAGGATTTCTTGAGCAACCCACCAAGCAAAAATGATTTGCATGTTAGTTTGATCATTGCTCCTGCAACTTCTGCAAGCTGAAAGATCTAGCTTGGCTTTTGACCCAGGTCTCCATGAGTAAGCACTTCATGCACCCCCATTCGTGAGCGCAGAACGCAAATCGTGTTCCCATCGAAGCACCATATTTCAGGCATGTGGCTGTACAAGGCTGCCGTCACATTTTCTTTCCTTGCAGCGCAAAGGGGGGGCGCGGAAAGAAAGCATGTTCCTTGTGTCGACCCTGCCCCGAATCCGGGGCAATCCTGGATTCCGGACGCCAACTGTTCCGCAATTCTGTGTAAAACCTATACAGTAGAGAGTGTGACGAGTTCTCATGTGTTAACGCAACCCAGTCCAAAGCTAGACCAAACCCTTGCTAGCTCTGCACATCTGACACGAAATCGCATCGTTGCTCAGCAGCCAGGCTCCAACAACAATCTTCAGCGCAACGTCCAGCTGAATTTCTTCGCTCCGCTTTGGCTCAGCGTCTCTACCTGTTGTCCCTGGCTCAAGTCTAAACAAACCATTCATTCGATTTCGTGCCGCGTTCGCCTCTTCGCCTAACGTGAAAACAACATGATTGCTGCGGCCAAACCTATACCAATTATGTATTTCTCTCTCTCTCTCTCTGTGTCAAGATCTGTGCATATCTCAATAAGTTCAAACAGTGTGTGTCCATACAATCTAATTGTACACTGGTGTGTGTATGTGAGTGCGTGTATATGTATAGTTCTATATTATATTACATATAATATATACGTATCCCCCGTGATGATTCAGAGGCGCGCTGATTTTGCATTTTATGGGATAGTTTTTTGTTTATAAAATGAAAACCAACTAGTTTATAAAATGACCAGCACAGGTTGTCATAGGTTAAGATAGAAATCGACATCCAGGAAGAAACACTTTATAAAATGCAAATTGCTCATCGGAAATGTCCGTAAGAAGCCAAATCCAGATACTTTATAAAATGAACATTTGTCATGTCAAGATCTCAAGATTCTGAAATAGTTATTCTTTAGTAATGATTCAGATTCTGAATTTTCAGATTCTGAAAATTTATTAATATGTTCAATAATGAAAGACAGGAATTAGACCAGCAAACTATCTGGAAGAGACACAGAGAAAGGGGGAGAGGAGAAAAGTGCACCAAAAGTAGCTAGTTAATGTTTAATTCTTAGTTATTTTCCTGGTCATATTCCTTCAGTTCCTGTCTTTCCTTGAGGTTTGAAGAGGTTTGAGGCCATTTCTTAAAATTTAGGATTTATAGAAAAAAAGTGAAAAATCAATACCTTTTTAGACAGTAATGAGAAATCATGTTCTGACCATCCTCTGACAACTCGACAAGTGAATGTTTATAAAATGAGATTACGGGGTTCACCTGCCCTCTATTGCTGTCATTCAGTGTCCAAGTTAATAAAGTTTATAAAATGACGATACTCCAGATCTTATGTAGTTATCCTTTAAAAACAAACCCTAATGTTTATAAAATGTGTCTTGCATTTTATAAGCCCACAATCACGGGGGATATATACGTTGCATAGTGGACGGCCCAAGTAAAGTGCTTCATGCTTCCCAACACTACATAAAGTGTTGGATATGCGAGGGGGGAAATACAATTACAGTTCGCATTTGGGGCGGCCTCCGGCCACAAACCATCAACATCTTCAGCCAACTTCCTGTGATCGCAGTGATCCTCATCCCCACCCGGACGCGAGCCCCCTGGAGGCCCCTCCATCGGACCCACCCGCGCGTTGGTCCATGCTTCTCCAAGCGGACGGTCTGCAAGGTCCTGACACTTCCAATGGAAGAGCATCCCCAACTGAAACGACATGTGCTGGACCTTCCAAAAGGATCAGGAAGGGTGTCCAATCGAGGTCCACGAGTAGTGCAGGGTATTCCATTGGAGACCCTCTGGCTCATGCCTTTCAAGTTCACTACAGTGTCTGAAGGATCTTGGGCCGAGTGTGGCTCAACAGCGGCTATCGCGCATGACCAGCAACGGGGCAACGCGTCCCCGGAACTGAACCGGAGCTCGTCATGGTTCGTCTCCTATTTTCTCTCCGGTGACCAATGGTCATCCTACCTACTAAGGTAGCTCCTTCGTGTGGGTTGCATCAAGGATAGGGTTAAGTGGATTGACCTTACCAAGTGCTTTGTTTTTCGGCATGTGAGTTTCGACCACCAAGTGCCAGTTTTGGTTCACAAAGCAAAAAAGCCTTGGACTTACCTGGTTGAGATGTTCCAAAACCCAGGGACCGGGGACCCGAATTGACCATCGACATCTGGCGTTGCCAAAAACAAAACGGGATCCCGATGGATCCCGCAGTTCTTTGGATCTGAAGCTTGTCCCCTAAGAGGCTATGCGTGCCATGCAAATTTACTTTGTATAGGCATCATCATGACAACATACAGACAAAAACCATCAAACAACAATTGTCCACAGCGCTAAGAATCCCCAGACAACTTCAACGGAACATCGAAAAACCACCACCCTGGCCTGATACCAACAACATCTTCACTAATTATTCATAAGTATTCAGTATTCACTGTCTATAAAGATGCCAACAGGTTACCTTCAAGGTCGCTATGTTGACTGCTTCTTGATCGCTTGGAAGTGCTCAGCCACAGCTATCCGGGCCGGGGTTCTCAACACCCGCTGCCCGCTCCTAGCCACACTCCCGCACTCCTGAGCTCTGCCAATCCATGCAGCCACTCCTAAGGAAAAGGTCTCAAAGCCCAAACCGGAGCAGAACTCTGTTATGAGTTTGCTTGGAGAAACCGCCTGACTTGGTAAAATACAGACCCTATTTCCAAGGTATACAATAGATTCTTTTGATATGCTTTCCGGCCTTCCAAGGGCGAACGAAAGTAGAACAGCATGGGGACAGCGCTGTCGCGCTTGCCCAACAGGTTGTCTGACGTGTAGAGTGTAGAGTTCAGCTCAACCCACTCACAAGGATATTGAAGCCTCTAAACGAATTGGACTTGTGTGACCCAAACGCTCCAAACAGCCCTGGGCCACCTTGGCCCATCAAACTCAGTTAGATTGAAACCGCCTAGACCCCTCCAAAATGGGGGGTTCCGATCCCACCTTGTGAGGGTCCGTCTCGTCTGGGGAATTCCGTTTTTTCCAAACTCAAACAAAAACCGATCTTCCGGACGCCCACCGATTCCGCTCGTCTTCGGCTCGATCGCCGTGTCGCCCGATTGGCCGGTCCTCCGGTTCGAGCAGCGGCCCCGTGACGAAGACGTCCGCGCCCAGCGGTTCTGCCAGGAAGTGCTGCAGCCGCTGCGCCGTGCGCTGGGCGTTGAGGCGGCACGCGGAGAAACGAACACCGAGCTAAGAGAGGGCCCTGCTCGTGATTCCGGGAATTCCCATGGAAGAAGGAGCTCTATTTCTACAAACCAGCAGTCTGTCAGTTGTTATCCATATATCCAAGTTCTTCTTTGAACTCTGTTAGTCTTCACGCAGGTGGTCTAGAGTGACGAGGGCTGGGCTATAGATGCTATAGGGAAAGAAACTCGTGGGAGGTGTTGTGAAGTGTCGTTCTAAGAAGATCGGCGACTCCAAGTCCATCATGTCGTGTCTTTTTTGCCCAGTGACTGGAAGGCTATGCAAAAGCCCCGCCAGGCAGAGCGCGACGGTGTTCGCCATTGGCCGGCCGCTCGGCGACGTTCATCATTCATCGGAAGGTGAATAAATTTGTCTTCGAACAAAGTCATCATCGAATCAAACGGCAAAAGATTACCATGCATGCAAAGAACACGCATGAAGAGAAGCAACGAAGGGCAATATAGGACATAGGTGGGATGGCTCTGACAACTTTTGTGTGAACACTTCTATTAATTGTGCTTGGAACAGCTCTTTTGCGGTTGTCGTAGAATGAGCTCATGCACAAGAATCAACATTGAGAATCATTCCCCCAAAATGGGGTTCTGCTTTGCCAAGGGCAGGACCAGTATCTTTCTTCATGCTTGCCTCTGATTTGGCGCCGCTTGTTCTTGAGTGTCCTTTCATTCCAAGGGTAAAGGAAAGCCTAGTTTCCACTCATTTGCCTTGGTAATCGACCATGTAACAGTTATTAACTACTATTTCAGTTCGTTTCAGCTTCCTGAAAAACGCCAAACAATATAAAACGTGTGCGCAATCCTTTCGTCATGCATCGCCAGAATACTGTACTGGGATGGTTTGTGTCGCGAAACTTTGGCAACCCAAGTCAACGACGCTGTCCAACTGCAAACTGCTTGAGCCCCGAAGTCCGTAGCAGGTTTGAGAGGAACTATTCATATGCAAGCTAGATTTGCTTGGCATCCCTTCAAAAAACCTGTCCTGAGATCCGTTTTCTTGAGATGACGTATAGTTCAGCAAGTAGAAGTCAGCAGAAATCCCAACGTCCCGGAGTAGGGGAATTTTTATTTTTGATACGAATTAATGTTTTTTTTGATAGGAATCAATGTTCTTTTTGATAGGAATTAATCTTCTTTTTGATAGGTATCCCTCCCAACAGGTTGTTT